ATGTGAATATGACTGAAAATTTTCATTTTTTCTGAAAAGGTGGTGTCTATTTACTTGTGACCACGCTGTGTATAATTCATTGCTCTATCCGTTTTTTTTTTGTTTTTTTTTTGTAATGTTAATTATGTGCCTTGTTATCTTAATTTTTGTCGGTATGGGGCTTAAAAATTTTGCTTTGTTACCTCATGACATGTTCATTTCTTTCTTGTTTATGGTTGTTGACATTGTTTATTTTCTCAAAGAAAACTATTACTGGAAAGTAATGAAGTATTAGTGAATGTATTGTGTTGTTTTTGTTTACATCAGATTATACTGGGAAATGTTGTCTATTTTTATAGGTTGACAGCAATAGACAGAAAAGTAAAATAGTAAGTTGGAGCTGGTCCAGGCTATGCTGGATCCTCCTCATAATACCTTGTTTGGGATGACACCACTTATGGTTGTGTGCAGTAGAGGCTCCTCTTCTTGTTAATTCCAGTTGCAGGAGTTTCTTTACCTGCTCCTACAGTTGAATTTTGGGGGACTTCATCTGCCTCATAATAGATGTATGTACACTGTTCCTATGGTTGAGCGAATTTCCCATGTCCTTCTCATAATTTGAAGTGCAGGTTGTCTCTTCCCTGCATTTATGGTTGAGTGAATTATAATTTCTGCTCAAAATACCAGTTACAGATATTACCCTGTTCATGTGATTGAGTTGAGGCAATGTCACGACCCAATAATGCCAGGTTTGGTTTGTTGTGCTTCTAGCTCTTACAGTTGTTTTGGGGGATTTGTCTGGTGTTGACTAAAAGCTAACTTCTTCTTTGTAATTCCGGTGGCTTGATGTTGTGACACTGTTTACTTAAGGTTGGGGTTGCTAAGTCTATATAACATGGTCCACATGCCCTAGCCATTGTTTGTTATAATATATTTATATATATATATATATTTTTATTTATTTATTTTTTCATCCACAATCTCCTAATTCTGAGGACGACGTATGGAACCTCATTTGTCTGGTTGAGGTTGTGTATGTACATAATTAATTCTGTTTATATCTTGCATTGCCCCTCTCAAAATAACTTGCATTTTTTTCACATCCTCCTAATATTACAGAAGAGTTATGAAACCTCATCTTTCCAGTTGAGTTGAGTATGTATCTGCCCATGTCAGGTTCATTTCCTACTTCAAGGGCAAAGAGCATACCTGTTCCAGAAGCAGTACAGTATGCCACTCGTGCTTCATTGATCTTGGCGATTGATTTCCACTTGGTTACTGTGTTGTGATCCTAAACTGGCCCCTCCACCTTTGCAATGTGGGATTCTAGCTTTGTGTGAGAGGAGCTAAGACTGTATAGGAAGTTAACATTTTTCTTACACTTAAAATGTATTTCTGATAGGTACTTATCTCCATTCACACACTTCCCACCCTTCCGCACCATGGCCGGTTTTCTTCTTTTAGAACATGCCAGTTCTTGAAAGTGAGGATTGAGGAGGAATAGCAGAAGGAGCTAGCTGTGTCAATATAGGTGGCACAATACTATTAGTGAAGGGTAGTCACATGATATGAACATGTTCAGAAATGTCATGAAATTGATGGGCCATAAAGACTGGTTCACTGGTCGTAAAAATGTTTTTAGCAATCCTTAGAAGGCAGAAAAGGATGAAGATAGTTTTGTGTGAGGGGAAGTAACTAACTATCGGAAATACATATTGAGTGTAAGAAAAATGTAATCTTCAACTAACTTACACATGATGTAAGCCTATAGGTGAAACTAGAAAAATGTATTAAAAGTTTAAAATAATGACAAATGTACACATTTAGGAGAAGGCTTTGTCATCATGAGGTACAAGTAGTTTACCTAGGAATATATATATATATACAGTATGAAACAAAGAGGTCACATAACTGAAGAATGCTTAATAAAGGTATCATCTTGATGTTTAGTTCTTTGTGTATGTTTTTTTTATCTTTTAATAAATATACTATAGTTTTATTGTGTTTTAATATTTCTAGTTATAAGGGTTTTTATTATGTTCACCAAATAAAATAAAACTGTCATCAAATCAGATAAGTTAATTGTTTAGTGAGTATTGCAGTGATTGCAAAATATTGTTATGACTCAAGTATTTATTGAATATCATTTTTGTGTTCATCCTATTCAAACAACAGACAAATAAATTGTCTAACTGGCTATTTGTAATTGTAATCATGAAAACACTATGTAAACATTATTACCACTTATCATAAGAGTAAAATATGTTTTCATTATTAAAATATCAGTTTATTTGATTTATGGAAGATAGTGTGTGGTTACTGCATATTTGAAAAACTAACTGGGTATCACGTGGTGGTATTTAGTGAATATTAGTGATTTTTCTATCAATTAGGAAATGTCCATAGAAGTTGTGAAAAATGGTATTCACAAATGTGCAAATGGTGACCATTAGAAGATGTCTATTGTATGAAATCTAGGGTAATTCAAAAATTACTTAGAAAAAAAACAAACAAATCAATATAAAATAAAACAGGAAAATTAATGCCATGTAGAATAATGTAGTGGTTGAAAAACTAAGACTATAGGATGTACGTGGGTTGTTTTTTCTTTTGCTTGTATGGGTTGTAGAGGTGGGGGTGACTAATTGATTTATTGAATATAACTGATTTATGAGCTCATTGACTAATTGAATAGCAAATACCGATAATCACCCAGCTTTAAATCTAGTCTTTCTTATGAGGCATTTAGAAATTTGGTAACTGTCCAGCCAATTTGGTCAATGTACATCTTGTTAATAATCTTGTTTTTCATGACCTTTTAGTAGTATTTGTATAATCACAAATTCTTATTTATCATTTGAAAGTTTTGGAATCAAAATGGTATATGGTTGTTGACATTGTTTATTTTCACAAGGAAAACAATTACTGGAAAGTAATGAAATATTAATGAATGTATTGTGTTGTTTTTGTTCACATCAGATTATACTGAGGTGTTGGATCTTTTTAATTAAGTATGAATCATTTTGTAGTTGTTAATTTTATATTTTATACTCAAGTATTAAAGACTGCATGTTATCTTACATTCACAGTGTTTAACATCATAACAACAGTCTTTTTTTAAATACTCAACTACCAAAATAAAACTCAAATCCTGATTTGGTTATTTCTTCACAGATAAAAGTAAGCACTCTAGCGCAAGAAGTAGATCAGAAAGTCCAGTAACTGAACAAAATTCAAATAAGGGAAAATCGTCAAGGCCACAAACAGTAAGAAAAGCTAATAACAAATCAGATAAAGGTGAGTGCCAAATAGCTCCAATTTTTCAAATTACTTATATAATAAAAAATTCAGTGCTTTCTCATGTTGGTAGTACTTGTATGAATAAATATGGTAAAGAGATGTTTTTTGACACAGATGATCTGGTAGCGTTTGTTTACAATGTAAATGTTTCAGAATGCTTTATTTTGTTAAACAGTGAAATATAATTATATATATATATGAAGATGTTATGTGAAACAGTTAAATAGAAATAAGTTGGTAAGTTAGTTTCTTATATATCTGCAATTCTTTCTGAGTATATAAACTGGTGGCAGGTAATTAATATAAGGTTAACCAAACACCCTTTGTGTATACATGTTCAAAATTGTACGTAGAATATTCCGGTCAGTCACATCAAGTCTTATTTCTGTGCATCTAGAATGTATATATGCTTTGGGTAGAGACATTGCCACGATGGTCAAATAGATGAATCATAGCCTGAACCCTCTTCAGGGTCATAGTCCTGAAAAGTGTTTGGTATATATTTAAAATTTTGGGTAGTTTCCCTTTCATAAAAATGAACTTGATTTTTTAACAATATCATTGAGGAAGCTCCATTACAAAAAATTAGTTCAAAGTACAATATAGTAATAAAATATAATAATTGAAAAAATATGTAAGTGCAATATAAAATAAATATGTATGTAATAAAAATACAGCAAGCTTTACAAAATATTTGTCTTTCCTCTTTCTCTTTCCTAATTATCACTGGCATAAAAACAGTCAAAGCACCTGACAAAAAAAAAGGATGATGTACTTCAGGAATAATGCCTGGTAAAATTGGTTGTTTAAACCTGAATTCTGTGCTAATGTGGAAAAAGGACTGAAATATGAGATGAAAAAATTCCCTTATGTGAGATTGAATTATTAGTTTTGAAAGTTTGTAAAGTTAAATCTTCCCTTGAAAATATGTTCAAAACTTTACATCGTATACTTCATGAAGAAATGAGTTTAAGCCAGTTTGTAATAGTCTATAAAGATGCATCAGAAGTACACATGTGAATTATTTTCATTTTCCTTATTTTTTTTTACAATAAAAGTTTAAAGTAGGTAGATCCTGAGTGTTGATTGGTACATTTTCCTGCATATGATGGCACACATTAGACAAATGAATAGAGCCAGAATACTTGATTGGTAAATTTTATGCATTAGATAGTTCTAGTACATTGGCAAACTTTATATAAAGCCAAAAATAAGGCAATTTGCTAAAGAAATTTAAGGTACAACTTTTTAAGTTTGCTGCAAAATAACAGCAGCTACATTGATGCATACTTAAAAACTTATACTATACAATAATGTTATTATAGACAACCATATATAACAGAACAGACTACAACATGTGCACATGGATATGTAATCTTTATTTTAATTATAATGGGCCATTGTAAAATTTGGAACAGAGAGTGTATGTGCATGTATGAATATGCAAGTTTGATGAAATATAATAAACTTCTTGAAAAACTGTGCAAGGGCCACCCTGGACTTTGCAAAAATTGCATTTTGCAACTTTTTTTTACCATTTTTGGGGACAAAATCTAGCTTTTAGCAATTTTATTTGCACTAACATTTGATACCAATGAAATTTGAACATCAGTGTTTCATTCACATCATAGTTACAATATAGTGTCTGTTTACAGTATGGGTCAAATCTCAAGTAGTTAATTTTGTCTGCTTACACATGCTGTATAAGTGTCAGTTCAAAAGATAATAAATAAAATAATTAGGTTGGCTCCTGGATTTGAAAACTGGTGACAGAATTCTGTGTTTGGCTGTTTTTTTGTCTTCAACATTTTATAGGCCATAGCAGTCCTGGATTATTACCATTAAGTTCCATTAAATTAAAATTGTGAGTGTGATAAATAATACATTGGAGAGAGACAGCAGTGACTACAAGCAGGAATCAGAGAACACAAAAGAGGCTTGAAGAACTGTGTTACAGACACATTGGAAAAACAATCACAAGGTGCAGAAATATTTGAAAAAAATGCCATAAGTAGAAAAATTAAGAAGGCTTTTGCCATCAAAACTCAAAACATTGAAACTCCAGTTAATATTAATCGAAATAATGGTCAGCAAATACCTATCACTGTATGGATCCCTATTATCAAAGAAATTAGGCAGTTTATTGTCATAGCATTGATGTAAAAGTATAATTATAGCATTGTTATTCAGGTACATTGTTTGCCCAATTTCATGTATTTATATTTTTTGAATTGCAGATGTATATCTCTGCTATACACTTGTTATTGACTCCACATGTTTTACCTTCTATCTACAGAATTTGAAGTGTTTAACTAATTTTGAGGCTTATATTTTTAATGAAGAAGTGTCGGCTATATTGCTGCATTACTGGGGAAAGATTGAAGTAGCAATTTAATGCAATTAACCTTAATTGTAGTAAGTTTCTAATTTGTTAATTGAATTGAATAACCACAATAACTTTTAATCATTAATGGCATATTGTTTGTATTATTGTACTGTTATCTTTTGAAAAATGTTCCATGAATGCTAACAAATCAATCTTCAGTTGCATAATAAAGGCTCTAGTAAGGGGAATAAAGCTTGTAATAAAATATATGTGTGTGAATGTGTGTAGTTTATTTAATCAACCTTGAGGCTAACTGCCTTGTACAGTATTTCAGTTAAGTACTAACATATACTTTAGCAGACATTATTCTTGGGTTCAGTCATGTTTCTCATTATTGTATATGTTTGGTAAACTGAACGTACTCACAAAAGGCCATTTGCAAATACATGTAATGAAATGTAGTTTGATTTTTACTTCCAAACAAATTTTAAGAAATTTCTCTATATGTAAGTATTATAATGTTAGCACAACTGTTAGTTCATGAAAACTAATACACCATCTGTATTTTAGTATAATATTGAGTTTATATGCTGTCCATGAATGATCCTACAGTACAACTGGTTAACAGTGTCTTGTTAAACATAAGGGACAAATACTTTTAATCAAGTGTTCAGTTTTTGATGTATATCTGTGATATTTAACTAACCAATTTATTGTACAACTACTAATTCAAGTATTGAGAAGTTAATGCCATAAATCATTAAGCAAACAAAAAACTCTTTCAGTACATTACAAACACAATCACAAATGCTGCATTGTTAAATTTTGACTTGTACAAGCTATATTGTAAAACAGGTATTGCAGTATTTTCACTAAAAATTGTATTTGTACAAAAGCTATAAGAATTTATAAATATCCTTTAACCCTATGTGCACAGGTGTGATCAGAGTGCATGTCATGACCATTTACAATTTAAATTAAAATATTTTTTTTGATTTTATAAATAAACTTGACATCAAAATATAATTCAAATATTATGTACATTTTAATTTATAATTTTAAAAGAAAGTATTTTAATAAATTCTAAATCTTCACTCTGAATTGCTCATTTTAGATATTTTTCCACCCACATTTTGGCATTTTAATACAACTTACACAATATAGTATAGGTTTTGCTAAAATGTAGCCTAAATTTATAGCCTTTAATCTTGTTTTAGAAATAAATAAAAGCATTTGTGAAAATGTTAAGAGACCTAAAACTGTTAGACTAAATAATTGTAATATGTAATTATTTTAGAAAAAATGTACATTTGATTTCATTTCCTATCTGTTAAGTTTTTCTGCAGTTAGTGTTAGGGTAGAGAAAATAAAAGATAGAGTATATAATTTTACCCAAAAGAAACTTTTGATATTCATTTAGGAGGTTCTAGAAGTCATGTAAATGAAACTTGAAGATAGCTTTTATATGCAGAAACATCTGTTAGCTG